ACTTTATATATTCAAGCGTATGTACATATGTATGTACTGTACGTATATCACGACAGATCGATGTGGAAAAGTTAAATATGCATAGCAACTATAAAACCTATGAAAAATTCATTGGAGCTTTATATGCTTTATCATGCGCAGCTAACGAGTTCTGAATTCCAGGTGAACTAAATATAGAATCCGAGAAACTTGGGTTGTTTGAGTATCTATACAACACTGTGCAGAACCTGTTGCGATCAATAGATGCCAGATTCGGCCGTTTTCGACATGTTCCGTTATATTCCCCTACTATATTCGTTCCTATCTGCTTCCACAACCATTCCTGCCACGCCTTGTTCACATGTATTTTCCCAGCAAAACCGGTTATTACAAGTATGATGCGTTTGGTGCATGCTTCCCCATGGAAAAGCTGGGATGATAGGAATACTTTTCTACCATTACACTTTGATTGATTTGATTCTACCATTACACTTAATTCATAATTTATTGTTCTATTCTTGATCATTTAAATTTTACTTTGCGATACTATATCCTTGAATCCATATAGAATAAATCATTAAATACGACATGAATAAACGGTTTAATACGAAATATATTTGTATTTTGACAGCAATCATTGAACGCACATAACGTATTGTTGAATTTTAGAGGTGAAAGGTAAGCGACTGAACGATACCACCTCTGTAAAATGAAAATGTAAAAACTATCAGAAATGGTATGGGTGTGAACTATCGAGGCCTTATCAAGCTTTTAAGTGCAATAGTCGACAGGTAGCAATTGGATAGTTTGCGTTGACGATTTTGTTGAGGGATTGGATAGAGAGATACAAATCGTGGAGCATTGGAGGGATAACAAAGAGAATACTTAATATTAGAAAAAGAGAGCTGAGGCTAAAAAGAGAGTACTAACAGAAAAGAAAAGAAAAGAATTGGTTAGTGGTGGAGGCAGGGGGGAAAGAGACAGATTGTTGGCAAGAAATAGGAGGAAATGCAAGGGAGAAAGAGTACGGGGGACATAGGAGTTTCACGGTTATGTTCGAATTGCGCCTGCGTCGACGGGTACTTGCTATGAGCGGATTGGCTCCCTACTCATACTTGAGTCCACGTTAGGTTGACTTAATTTCAATTCGGGCTCCTTCTCTACTTCCCCCTTCTCCCTTCGGCACCAACGTGCATTAACGGTCGATTCTTTCCTTCTTGTTTGGATTTTTCTTGCTGAAAAGAGTATACGCGATACCTCAATACACGCTTATCTCTAATACCCTGAACAACCAGAAATACGTGACATTAGTGAATCCTTATGATCTTCGATATGCAAAACAGATAGGACGGTGGTGATAGTGGTGATGGTAGTAGACACCGACGAAGAGAACAAGAGAACAAAGAGGAGGGGAGGAAGGCGAGGGGAAGGAAGTGGACGCAGGTAGTGATGGTGCACAGAGAGAGGCTGGGTACACAAAGACATAATACAGCTACAAGAAAAGAGAAGAGAAGAAAAGAGGAGAGGGAAGAGCTTCGGGTTTGCAGCAATCGGCGCACGCTATCCCGCGCGCTTGCTCGCGCGCGCGCGTTCTTTACAAAACAACGCATCTGAACATTCTGAACCCATCGCTGAACGCGTCTCAACAGTTCGGCACGAATTCACATTGAGTTAATTATCCTGACGGACGTACGGGTTTCATCGCGTCGCCGCCATATTGGCGGTTTGATATAACACGCACTAATAAGTTCAGATTGAGTACGATAGTCATCGTAGTTGACACGCCGATTTCGTCTTTGTTGTATGTTGATACTACGAATGTGCCATAAACAGCAGAGTGATCATGTCATAATATTCCTTGATAACTGCACTTAATAATACACAAACGTTCAGTGAAATCTTTTATCGAATAAACATAAACTGGAATTTATGCATTTTTTCTTCACTTCATGTTGTCTGCATTGAATAAATTGTGAATTGTAGTTTTAAAAATCGTTGAGTGCAACATCGACGTTGGATCATTAATCACTAATGAAGAGCGAACTTGAAACTGTTTGTACGTGTACGATTAGTAGAATCTACTTCTGTTCATGTAAAGTTAATCTTATGTTTTATGGATTGTGTTACTGTTTAATATTTCATTTATGATTGTAAACCAGTCGATCAGTGATTTAGAATTACTATAAATGTGCGGAATGTGTGAAATGTTTATTCCAATTCATTGAGACATATATATTTTGTTAATTAACAAATGTGAACAATTATTTAAATCAGAATAGATCTTTGTTAATGATCTTGTGACAATTTTATTGTTAATGACAATGTCTGTGAGTACAATAGTTATCTGTAACAATGTTGTTAAATTTCCAAGGACTGTATTATGTAATCATCAGATGTTAATGATTATATTTACAGATTGGAAATGAACAATTCATTGGATCAAGACTTTCAGGAATTTCAGTTTTCTGAACAGAAAGAGATTTGTAACAGTGATGGAATAGATAGTTTGGAAGCATTTGGTATGTTTTTCTTTCTACAAGAACTTCAATAAAAAGTAGAATAATTGATATTAAAAATGAGACCGAAATTTATGAGGAGAGGTTAGAATTGCTATTACTGAACAATACAAATCAATTAAAAATCTTTTATACTACGCCGAAAAAATATTCAAAAGGTTTATCTTTCTATTCAGAACATACCTCGACATTCTCTGTAATTGGGGTTATGATATTGACAGTTTGGTCTCAATCATAAAAATTATTACCTTCTTCAATTCACTTCTTTAAGCAATTAAGAATATTCGGCCAATTACATCGTCAAATGAACTTTTTATAAAAAATTACGCGATTCTTCAAGGGCAGTAAAAAGTTGTTGATGCACGTTCGCAATACAATTTCTACGAAACAAATATCGATGCAAGCTATATCACGGCGGGAATGTTTCGTTAATATGAAGTTAGCCAATGATATTCCTCCTTGAGCTAGTATCGATTGGAGAGACCCGTTTTCAATTCTCGGCAAAAGCAAAGGCAATTACATACATATCTTGCTTATACACAGATTGCGACCATTTTGCGTGAACACTTGCCGTCGGTGTCGGTGCATATACATCGGCATCGATTGTTTACATCCGTTGTAACACGGGGAACGCGCGCTGATACACCGAGTGAACTTTTGAAATACGAAACGTGCATGAATACAATTGACGTGTAGCTTTTATATGAACGTCTTGACAGGCAATCGTATTCGTTTAATTGATTTGACGGAAGATACGAAAGCGCGGCAAATTACTCCGTATATTTTCTGATGTTCTTCATCGTGTAGGTGGTTAGGCGACTTGCTATCACATTAGGTTTTTGTTTTTAAATTAAAAGTAACGAACATTTAACGTGTAATTGTATGTTGTATTATCAGAATTCTTTTTTATCGTTACAGATAAAGGTGTGGAGGATAGAACGATATTTCCTTTGCGACTATCGTTGTTCAGTTGTGAAATTTGCAGAAAGCAGTATACGACAAAGAAACAACTCCGTACTCATATTCTCACACATTTAGGAAGTCCACGAGTAGTGTTGAGGAAAGTTACAAATTTCAAAAGTATCACGAAGACACAGACCGATACCTATTGGTTAAATCCAGAGGGGAATGGTTCTCTGAAATTAACACTAAAAAAACAGAATTCAAGTGAACATTTGAAACTCAAGCTCAGAAAGTCATCTGAATCTGAAGATTTCACTGTTGTAAAGAGCAACATAAATCTGGAAACAAAGGATCACAACCGAGACGTGGCTGAAGGAATACAAAATGAACCAAGACATGGGAAATATACAGAAGATTCAGTTGATCGATCGTTTAAAAACGTGATGGTGGAACAAGAGGTATGTTGCAAAATGATAAATAATGATTGTGTTAATTGACAGGAAATTACTAAAACTGTCTTATTGCTAGGATGGCTATGAGAGCATTAAATTTACTAATGAGGACCATAATACATTGGAAGAAAATGATAAGCACACCATAGATGTAAATGAGGGTGATTCGGGTGTAGGAAGTGATATGGCAAATCCATCTGAAAAGGAGGATCAAAATGATGATTTACAAGCTGCAGATCAATATGACAATCCAGATAGAAGATTCTCTGAAACTGAAGATCATGAAGAGTCAGATGCATTGGAAGCGACATGTAGAGAAACAATTGAAAACTTGAAAAAACTTGGTGAACAATCTGGGTAAATGTTGCTCAGCTTAAGTAACTACAGTCATTAAATCGAATATTTTATAATAATACATTGTTTTAATTTTAGATCTAGATCTATAAATCAGTTAATTGACAATTCAGGAATTGATAATGATGATGACAGAGATTCAGAAGCTATGATACACGATTTAGAAGAAAATCCGGCTATTAGTATCATTTCATCGAAGTCTTCAACATTTCCAAATCACGCTACGGATTGTGCAAGAATGTGCGATGATGATGATAAATCTGAGGAACTAACAGAAAGTTCATCTGGTTTCAATTGGAATCAACTATCTACCAATTTATCAAATAAGAATAGTGAAGGTTCTAAAGATAATGAAGATCAATCTGATAATGGAGACGATAATAACATTGAAAATGCTGGATCCCTTTTACAGAACTTGATTGAACATCAAAGAAATAATCAAAACGAAACATTATCAAATAATTTATCATCAGAAACTGAATACGTTTCGCTAGAGAAGTTAGCTGAAACTGTTAATACTTGTCGTGTTTGTAACGAAAAGTTTAAGGATATTGCACATTTAGACGAGCATCGAAACAAAGTTGGACATTATCAGTGCAATATACCCGAATGTAGTAATCTTATTTTTAATTCGCCGTTGGAAGTTTCAATGCATAAAGCTCAGATGCACGGGACGCCTCTCTCTCCAAGTGTGAGCCAGTTGTCTCCTCATTTAAATACGAATTCGCCTCATTTGAACCGGAATTCACCCCATTTAAGTCAAGCATCTCCACAATTGAATACACATTCACCTCATGCAGTATCAATGGAATCTCCAAACACGTCGAATTCGCAGCAAATAAGTAGAAATTCTCCATTGACGTCGCCACATCAAACAAACTCTCCTACGTATAACGCGGTCACTGGTGCAGCTCAACAAATTATACCGCCCGTTAATTTCGAGCAGCTACCCGCGCCGGTTCAACAATTAGCTCAACAAGTACAGCGTATGCCACTTCCGCAAACGCAAATCCCTCCAAGTCTTCCACCAGGTGCTAATACAATGATTCATGGCCCGAATTACTTTGTACAACCACCGGGGAGACCACCGCTGTATAGAGTTCCTGCCCCGCAGAGCATGCATTATCCTCCTCATATAGGGCACCTATACCAACAGTACGGACCAAGTCCGTATTCGCAAATGACTGCACCGCCACAAATACATCCGCAATTGTCTCAACAAATATCACGTGGAAGGTATCCTACCGTTGCACAAAGTAGTCGGCAAGTACTATTGATGACATAATCGTAAAAGCAAAATTGTTTGTAAGCAATGTTGAATATATACTAAAAATTAATATTGATATAAAATAATATAAATGTCTTTTGGAACAAGCTATTTAGAGATTTAATTAAAGGTTTATGTATTACAGAGCACCGCGTGTGCCGCAGAGTGGGCCAGTTCCACGGCAACGTATGAAACGTCCTGTACAGCAGGCAATGCAAGTACAACAGAACAACACGGTGCTCAAACAACGACGAATGGATGTCCTACTGCCGGATAGAAACGAGGATGCAGATTGTCATGTTATCGCACAACAAAAGAGAAACGATGGTCTACCCGTTATACAAAATGTACAAGGTGCTACTACTCAACAAACGAGTAGAAATGATTCCACAATACACCTTACGGATTCTATAACTCTTAGTGTTAGACAACCAGGTAATTTTATTATTAATTACTATTTTTAGATTGTAAGGTGACTCAGGCTTCAAATGATAGCTCATTGTCAACATATTTTATGAATCTAAACAAGAAAGAAATGTTGTGTAAGCATAATTTGTTTTAACGCTTTATTAAAAGGTTGTACACAAAATTCGAAGCGAACAATAGAACGATGTATACATGTAGTTTTATCCGAACTGTGTTTACTATTCACAATCACTAAATTAATACAAATTTTTGTTAAATGTTAATTATACTCTTCATCACTTGATATCAATTTAATTNAAATCTCTTATTAAAGCATTAAACAACTTATATTTATATAACTCTTTTCCTTAGACTCGTAGAACATACTGGCGACATTTGGCACTTTAAACCTTGCACACTCCGCATATTATTTAATTTATGAGATTCTTTTCAACATTAATTTTTGCTACATTTTATCAACCTCGTTAAGTTTGCCTCTATAAATTTTAATATTCTATGAATGTAAATTGATTTGACTTATGAAAGATATCTAATTATTTGCGGAAGATGTTGATTGGGGAGTAAAAGGGGCTATTTTACTAATCTGAAGGTTCCGCTCCAGCTCAAGTACAGAATGCATCGGGTGTCAGCGGCAAGAAGTCCGACGCAAAGGCCGTGGCTAATGTATTGGCTGCCAGAGGTATAACTGTTACTCCAGCAGCAAATAAAAATAAATCAAGCGAACAAAACAAACAGCAGATTCCTTCTCAGCAACAGAGGACTACAACTTCACAGCAGCCTTTAAATGTTACAGCGCTCAATCTGAATTCTGCTATTTCTATCATACCAGCTAGTTCGCAGAAGAAGCAACAAGAACAAGGCCAATTTGCTGTACCCCAAAATAAACAACAGAATAAAACGGCCGTAAACGAAGTGGAGAGACCACCGAGACCTCCAACAGTTGATTTAACACAAGACACTCCACCTCAGATGCCGATAGTTAGACGTGGAAGACCTTCACGGTAAGGTGTATTGAAACTAGAAAACTAGCTAATTTGTACAATCAAATTACTGTTTATTGCCTCAGGGCGATGCTCGTTTGTCAAGTTTGCGAAAAGAATTTCCCAAACCAAGAGATGTTGACCCAACATATGGCTACACACCGTGCGTCCAATAAACTACTCCATAAGTATGTAACACTTAAGATTTGATATTTTATTATTGAATTATGTTGAATGTACTGTATGTATAAATAATTTTTATTAATATTAGGTGTAATCTTTGTCCCGCCCAATACCCAACGATTCAAGCATTAATGACGCACAAACAAGCTTATCATAAAGAGGTAGATACTGTTGCACAAAACGGAGGTGCAGAACTGGCGATACCTGTTGTAGACTTGAAGTCGCCCCATGTACTGAATCGCTTGTCGAGTCTTGGTATACAGAGTTATATACCGCTATCGCAGCTTAGCGTGCAAACGGGAGGACACTTTGGTTTGCCGATAATCACGATAGACGGTGCACGGAATCCTAATACTTGTAATTTAGGTGCGCTTGGTGCTACATCTATTCTAAGTCTGGGCCCACTTAAACATTTGTCAAACAGGTAACTGTGGACAATTTTATATTCGGCCTATGTTTCGTACAGTCTTTCTATCTACGTCATAATTTTTCTTGTTAACAATTACTTATTACGAATATAGTTACATTGCCTACCGCACTACAGGCCGTCTTTTATTTTTCTTATTTTTTACTATGATCCGACAATACATGTGAATTCAAGTCCTTCGACACTTTCATGTAATAAGAGAATTTCACGTCTTTCGTTTTTTCACATTTTATGTTTCGTTATCTTTTCGGTTTTTTTATTGACCTTATTTAATTTCATTCACGTAATTACCGTACATTAGTTTATGTAAGTTGGAAGCAATACAGTATTTGTATCGACAGTTGAAGATACGTTTGTGTTATTATAAAACTAATGTAGAAGATTCGAGATAAACAATCATTAAAAGAAGATAGTGTATATGTTGTACATCATTACAGGACAAATTTTTAATGCGCGTTCGGTTTCGGATAAGCGTATACTACTAGTACATATACATATATGTACATATGCATGTATAAATGTATGTATATATACATACTAGTATATTTTTTTTAATACAAATATGAATATAAAAAACTCATCGAATGTATTGTTCGGAAATAATTTCCTAAAGGTACATGAGACCCGGGAATAAATTATGGTTCCATACGTAGTGCCACGTAATTGTTAATGTCACCAAAATCTGTATAACATTACATCTGTAAAAGTATTATTAGAATTCGTGCATATTAGAGAAGAGGAGGAAAAACTCTGTTGTCCAAATTTTTGAAAGATATTGGTTTTATATAATGATAAGGAAAATATTACTTATTTCATAAACGACAGAAATTATTGTTACATAAATCGTTCGACTCACATATTGTTACGGCAAATACGATACCTATTTTCAGTCCGATATCGGGAACATTTATATGTTATTACATTAAAAAAAAACTTACAAAGGTACCTCATTATCAAATGCATCTGATGTCTAATAATGTATCATGGATACTTAAGACAACAGATATTACTTGAATAATATAGTGTTGTTAAATCACGTCCGATTTTTCAGAAAGAAGAGTTGTGTATTATAAAACGTGCAAAATTAGTACGAGAAAGATATCGACGATTATTTGCATTTTTTCTGGTAAACAGTTTCATTTCATGTATTCACTTTGCAAACTGTCGAAATTATAATACCAGTTGTAAATATATTTTGTAAAGAAAGATTACGATTAAAGCTGATTTGTACTTGAACCTTTAGTATTATCTAACGTAAGTGATATTCAGCCAACATTTATCATTATAAAATTACACGTTTTTTATTTATTGTCATTCCTGTTAAGATATGGTTGCGTGTAAATAATCATTTCTCATATATTGCATATTTTAACGTAAGGCAATCCATTCCATTTAAATTACAGAGATATGCAAAAGGTTACTAAGACGGCAAGAACTGATTTAAAATAACAACATTGTATATATTTGTATGATAATAAAAGAAAGTGAAGCATATAATAATTTTAATGAAATCTATTTAGCTCGTTACAGGGATAATAATGGGGCATTATATTGTTCTTGGTTTATAATAAAGATCGTAAGTTTAACGGAAAGCTAAATTCATTGTTCAGTTTTTAAGTTGATTTTACTGTTGACTTTTGTTTAAAGAACATAAATGAAGTGCAATAAATCTTTTTTCTTTACTAATGTGTATACATATGTACTTGTTAATGATCAGCGCCTTCAATCGATCCTTTCCATGTTTTACCATATAGTTGTCCTCTTCCCGATTCAAAGTGTACACGAATCTAATTCAAATTGACAGTGAAATTGTAATAGACGCACGCGGAAAAAATACGAAGGAATAAAATAAAGTTGCTTAAACAACATAAAATAAGTAGCCTAAATGTTATGGACAACGTACTCAGTATTCGGTGCGCAAACGTTCGATATAGACCGGTATTCAGAGTCATTGCTTATTCTTAAGATCGTCTTAAACATTTGCAATTTGCCCTGTTCCCTGTACAAGACAAAGACTGGAAATATGGGATAGACAGGGATAGCAAATTCTTAAGACGATCTTAAGAATAAGGAACGACTCTGAATACCGGCCATAGAGATCTTTCTCTGAACCCTCTGAACTAGACGGCACCGATGACACAGCACGAATAACCGGAATGAAATGACGAGCGGCTGTGACAAAAAGTGACAAATGACGACACGCACACGTTCGGTGCTTACCCCGCTCACCGCGATGAAATGTGGGAGCGTGGGAGCCAGGCGAAGAGAATAGGCGATACGTCGTGGTATCGCGTGCGGAGTTCTGCGCTGGGTGAGTGGGGTTTAATATCAATGGGTTTGGGGCTTGGGCTGGGCTCCACATGGGCTCCACTTTCATCGGCGCGGGCAGGTAGGGGCGTTCCGCCTTACGCCCCACTGCACAGCGTACCGGGCTCGGCAGAGGAGAAAACCGGGTTACATCACCCGGCTTTCCTAGCATCTAGTAAACCTTAACCCTTTACTCGTGAAGGTGGATCGTATTGCTCAGGCAAGATATATCTGCATTTGTATAAGAGACAGATGTAAAATAATGTATAACGAATTATTGATTAATGTGTATTTGTCACAATAATAAAATACTAACAAAGATACGCATACTAATAAGCGAGATTCTGTATTCTGTAGATTGTGATGTATGTAAATGGTATAATTTTATTGTAAATGTGGTAACGATTACCCTTTATGTTTTCCTAAAACTTGTTTAAGATTAACTCTAATCTAACTAATTTCTCATTTACATAGTGATCCGTCCGTTTGAAATATACAAAGAAAAATTATATTTTGGCTCGAACTTGAGTTCATTCAACATCGTATGAATTTGACTTCGGCAGATATGTTTAGAAAACACAATTGAACCCAAAAAATCTCGATTATAGTTAATTCAAGACTGAAATCAAGAATTCAAAATGCAGAATACATGTTTGAAAATTTCTTACGCCTACAATTTTTGAAGTTTGTGAACCGAGGGTACAAATAATATCAGCTAGCTTTTTTCCATTCAGTGGCCGACCGAAGTCGGAAACAGTAAATATATTCGTGATGCTTTCATCTTATGTATTTTCGATATTTTAACTAATAACATGTTTGATATGTGTATATTTCGGTACTAATTCGAACAAGGCGTGATTCCTCATCGTGATTCTTTCAGTTTGCTGCGGCGTACAAATACAATACGTGTATGCATACGATGCATACATACGACATATGTATTACGTACATGTATATGCATGGATGGATACATATATACTACGCTACCATGCTAAGTGCCAACCAACGTCGCGTTGCGCCGCGTCGTATTGGGTAGCGTCGTGGGTAAAAGAGTAAGACCACTGATCTCTATATAACACTGGATAGCGCATAGGCTCGCTCGGTTGACCCCTTTTGAGTAGGTGTCTGCCATGTTGCTTGTAGTCAGTTTTCAAATCCAATATGGCGATTCCGGTGATCGACTCTGAACGACATGTATGACCTGTGATTTATTC